CCTTGGGTTCTCATGCACTATGCCCATTTTAATGTTCAGAAAGACGGCGCGCGTGCGTCGAGCACGTTGACTGCTAAGAGAATTTTCTTGGGCCGTTCTTATACGTTCAAACTGGAGCCGGGCGGGGCGACAGCACGTGTGCTTAGTAAAATCCGATCTATAAAATTCACATCGCTCGCAGCATCACGCCTTGGGTTCCCCACTATGCCCATATTAATGTTCAGAAAGACGGCGCTCGTGCGTCGGGCACCGTTGACTGCCAAGAAAATTTTCTTGAGCCGTTCTTATACGTTCAAACTGGAGTCGGGCGGGCCGACAGCACGTGTGCTTGGTAAAATCCTATCTATAATATTCTCTTCTTTCGCAGCATGACGCCATGGGTCCCCCGCTATGCTATTCTAGATGAAAAGGGCACTGCAACGTCGGTCGCTATTGCCTGCCAATAGAATTTTATTCGGTCGTTCTTATACGTTCAAAGTGGAGCCGGGCGGGCCGACAGCACGTGTGCTTGGTAAAATCCTATCTATAATATTCTCTTCTTTCGCAGCATGACGCCATGGGTCCCCCGCTATGCTATTCTAGATGAAAAGGGCACTGCAACGTCGGTCGCTATTGCCTGCCAATAGAATTTTATTCGGTCGTTCTTATACGTTCAAAGTGGAGCCGGGCGGGCCGACAGCACGTGTGCTTGGTAAAATCCTATCTATAATATTATCTACCCTTGCAGCATCACGCCCTGGGCTCCCCGTTATGCTAATCTACACGAAAAAGGCGCTCCGATGTCTGTCGCCATTGACTGCTAAAAGAATTTTCTTCGGTCGTTCTTATACGTTCAAAGTGTAGCCTGGCGTGGCGACAGACGTGTGCTTGGTAAAATCCTATCTATAATATTCTATTCCTTCGCAGCATGACGCCATGGGTCCCCCGCTATGCTATTCTAGACAAAAAGAGCACTGCGACGTCGGTCGCCATTGACTGCCAATAAAATTTTTTTCGGTTGTTCTTATACGTTCAACGTGGAGCCGGGCGGGGCTACAGCACGTGTGCTTGGTAAAATCCGATCTATAATATTTACTTCGCTTGCAGCATCACGCCCTGGGTTCCCCACTATGCCTATATTAATGTTCAGAAAGACGGCGCGCGTGCGTCGGGCACCGTTGACTGCCAAGAGAATTTTCTTGGGCCGTTCTTATACGTTCAAACTTGAGCCGGGCGGGCCGACAGCACGTGTGCTTGGTAAAATCCGATCTATAATATTTTCTTCCCTCGCAGCATCACGCCACGGGTCCCCCGCTATCCTATTCTAGACGCAAAAGTAGCTACGACGTCGGTCGCTATTGACTGCCAAGAGCATTTTCTTCTGCCGTTCTTACACGCTCAAAGTGGAGCCGGGCGGGCCGACAGCACGTGTGCTTGATAATATCCAATCTGTAATATTCACTTAGCTTGAAGCATCACGCCCCGGGTTCCCCGCTATGCTATACTCCGACGTCAGTCGCCATTGACTGCCAAGAGAATTTTCTTCGGTCGTTCCTATACGTTCAAAGTGGAGCCGGGCGGGCCGACAGCACGTGTGCTTGATAATATCCAATCTGTAATATTCACTTAGCTTGAAGCATCACGCCCCGGGTTCCCCGCTATGCTATACTCCGACGTCGGTCGCCATTGACTGCCAAGATAATTTTTTTCGGTCGTTCTTATACGTTCAAAGTGGAGCCGGGCGGGGCGACAGCACGTGTGCTTGGTAAAATTCTATCTATAATATTCACTTCGCTCGTAGCATCACGCCCTGGGTTCCCCACTATGCCTATATTAATGTGTAGGAAGACGGCGCTCGTGCGTCGGGCACCGTTGACTGCCAAGAGAATTTTCTTGGGCCGTTCTTATACGTTCAAACTTGAGCCGGGCGGGCCGACAGCACGTGTGCTTGGTAAAATCCTATCTATAATATTCCCTTCCCTTGCAGCATCACGCCATGGGTCCCCCGCTATCCTATTCTAGACGCAAAAGTAGCTACGACATCGGTCGCTATTGACTGCCAAGAGAATTTTCTTCTGCCGTTCTTACACGCTCAAAGTGGAGCCGGGCGGGCCGACAGCACGTGTGCTTGATATTATACGATATGTAATATTCACTTAGCTTGAAGCATCACGCCCCGGGTTCCCCGCTATGCTATACTCCGACGTCGGTCGCCATTGACTGCCAAGTGAATTTTCTTCGGTCGTTCTTATACGTTCAACGTGGAGCCGGGCGGGGCTACAGCACGTGTGCTTGGTAAAATCCGATCTATAATATTCACTTCGCTCGTAGCATCACGTCCTGGGTTCCCCATTATGCCTATATTAATGTGTAGAAAGACGGCGCTCGTGCGTCGGGCACCGTTGACTGCCAAGAGAATTTTCTTGTGCCGTTCTTTTCCGTTCAAACTTGAGCCGGGCGGGCCGACAGCACGTGTGCTTGGTAAAATCCGATCTATAATATTCTGTTTCCTCGTAGCATCACGCCATGGGTCCCCCGCTATCCTATTCTAGACGCAAAAGTCGCTCCGACGTCGGTCGCTATTGACTGCCAAGAGAATTTTCTTCGGCCGTTCTTACACGCTCAAAGTGGAGCCGGGCGGGCCGACAGCACGTGTGCTTGGTATTATCCAATCTTTAATATTCACTTAGTTCGAAGCATCACGCTCCGGGTTCCCCGCTATGCTATATACTCCGACGTCGGTCGCCATTGACTGCCAATATAATTTTCTTCGGCCGTTCTTACACGCTCAAAGTGGAGCCGGGCGGGCCGACAGCACGTGTGCTTGGTAAAATCCGATCTATAATATTCACTTTGCTCGCAGCATCACGCCCTGGGTTCCCCGCTATGCCTATATTAATGTGCTGAAAGCCAGGCGCTCGTGCATCTGTCCCCGTTGACTGCCTACAGAATTTTCTTCGGCCGTTCTATATGTGATATTGTGTGAAGTGGTCTGTTTTATACGCTTGAGCGAGATGGTAAATCCTCTTCCCTTTGTCTATATCTAAGCTAGATGTTCCTTATGGGTCGTGATGTAGATTTCACACGACTTACATTACGTAGACATACATAACTTACACATAAACATTGACAACTTGGCATAAATAAATAACTTGCGAGTTCGAAGTTGAAATAAGATGCTGTTTCTCTGGAAAATGGGCATATAAATACTCTAGAATGCACTGTAACCGTATTGTTTAAAAATATTACAATCAAAAACATAGTGCCCAAATTATACCAATATTCTTTGTTTCAAATATTTTTACATTCGAGTTTGCCTATGCACATCTATGTTCGTTTCAGATCAAACAGCGAGCAATCGTTAACAGGTGTCTGTAAGGGGTACACGGTGATGAAGGATAGATTATAGCGTTTAAATGGTCTCACTAATATAAAAGAGTCACTTTTCAGTAACATTGGATAGCTGGGTCTGTTCTAGAAAATTCTTATGTATGGGGTATGTGTTTATATCGATGTTTTCTTCTGAAACTAAAATATATGAAACTTGTACTACACTGGCATTTGCCCTTACCAGCTGGCTCATAACCACAGACTGACAGCTTACCGCCATCTATCGGTTGCACTCTATATGGAAAGGCGTTTAATGCCGCTTTCATACTGCGAACGACTTTAGCCCGCTTCTGAAGCGGGATAACTTTAGCTCGAGATAAGTCGTTTCATACTGCTGAAGCGGGATAACTTTAGCTCGGGATAAGTCGTTTCATACTGCGCACGACTTTAGCCCGCTTCTGAAGCGGGATAACTTTAGCTCGGGATAAGTCGTTTCATACTGACGTTAGCTCGGGTCTGAAGCGGACCTGAACCACCTCCTGAGGTGGAATAACTTTAGCTCGGGCTAAGTGTTTTTCGACCTTTCATACTGGGGTTTATCCCGCTTCAGGTCCGGACCTGAAGCGGGATAACCCCCAGTATGAATGGGGTAATGGGGGGGGATTTAGAGCGAGCTAAAGTCGAGATACCTTTTCATACTGACGTTAGCTCGGGTCTGAAGCGGACCTGACCACCCCTTAGAACGGGATAACTTTAGCTCGGGCTAAGGGTGTTTCGACCTTTCATACTGGGGTTTATCCCGCTTCAGGTCCGGACCTGAAGCGGGATAAACCCCAGTGTTAAAGCGGCATAAATGAACCTGATCGCACAGAAACGACGCTTGCATTTTGCGCATGCACGGTAGGGCTACTCCTCAACAGCCATTAGCAACCCTTTTATTATAATTTTCCGCATAGCGTATGATTATAGGGTTGATTAATTTAATGGTGTCGACCTTTATTTCACCATCAGAATCAACAGAGACCTATGTGCGGGCTATTTCTACGATAGGCTCGATAGCCCTGTATACTCGATACATTTTACTAATTTATTGTTACAGAATAAATGTTTTATTTATTTATGTGATTATAAAAGTTGGGTTGTGAGGAGACATTAATGCGACTGCTATTAACTCATAATATAGAATAACTACTGAGCTATCTGTAATAGGCGATGTGCAAACCGGTATGCTTATTTCATTGAATATGGGAATTATAGTAAATACGCTATCTATTTTGCTAATTAAATGCTGTACTTTCTACTCTTACTCGAACGAACAAGAAACTAACCTAAAATGGCACACATGATTACTTAGTCGTGCGCTATGTAATAACTTTTTAATAACCAAAAGAAAGACCAATCAAATTGAAACGAAGAAAACTTCCAACTTTTTCCGGAACGGTGTTGTTATTGGACGCTCGAATGCATGATAATCTATTATGCAGGAGGGGAAATTTGGTACAATTGGGAAGTACAACTCCATCGAGAATGAGTGCAGCTCCTTGCTCTTGCTGCACACACACACAAACAAGCAACAGTGAGGCAGGTCGATACTGAGCGGTTAACGTCATATACTGTACCCGCATTCCCCACGCTCGCGCATCAGCCGACCATACTAGAGATAGAGAGAGAGAGGGAGGGAGAGAACGTGGCTCAACGACATCCATCGCTGCATCCATCCGCCATTATCAGAGAGGTTCCTGTGCCAATTCGTGAAAGGATCTTCAGCCAGCCGTGCAGCGTCAGAGAGCGGTTTGATATTTAGATTTTGCATTGTTAATTTCCTAGCGACAACGTCCTATTTCTTATATAAGATTAGGGTACCGTATATCGTATTATATATTATTATATAAGTGTGTGAGATAGGTAAGACGTTCGCATGCCAACATAGAATTTACATGTAATCTATCTATGCCATAATATATCATAAGCGGCAAGGCCAGCTGTCACTGTGGCGTGAATGTAATCTCTATGCCTGTTCATTGTATGCAGTGAGCTCCACAACGCATTATATTAAGCGAGATATTAAATACGCGGACACCTGCTGCAGCCGGGGGACATCGTGTTATTTAAATGACATAGCTTACTGAAGGGTAACGCCATTTACGTGTATGCTGCCATGCACTAGCTACACATTGCTCGCTAACATCGTAAATGCATGACCGTATAGTCCAGTAAAAACGCCTCTTCGGCCGCGCACTAGCAGGTATATTACCGATCCGAGTTAAGACCTCGCCTGTTTCAGGAGAAACCAATAGGCGTCAGTATGGGCTTCACACAGTTCCAAAAAGAGTGTCTTGCCGAGCACAACAAGCTGCGAGCGAAGCACGGGGCGGCACCTCTCGCACTGTCCGCGGAACTCAACAAGCTGGCACAGGAGTGGGCCGAGAAGCTCGCCAAGACGGGCCAACTCAGCCACAGGCCGAATAACAACTACGGCGAGTGCATCTATAACTGCTCGTCGTCCGATCCTAATTTTGACGTCTCAGGTGAGAGCCTGACGCGTGCGTGTGTGTGTGTGTGTGTGTGTGTGTGTGTGTGTGTGTGTGTGTGTGTCGCACATGTAGAGGCGACCGAGTAGCGTAATATTGATTAGAACGTCACGGTGGTACGTGTTCGATTGCGGCTGCGAACCGAGTAATGCAAGTAAATCCTACATGAAGCCATCATAGTTTAGAGGCTCTGATGGTCTACCCGCGACGGTGTAGGGACTTTCCGTTAGCTTATTACGTCGAAATACCTATCGTAGCTTTATTTACGTTTCTTAGGTGACAAAGCTACGCAGACCTGGTACAGCGAACTTCCAAAGTACAAGTGGTTTGGCAAAGAACCAAGCATGCAGGAGAAAAGAGGAACAGGTAGAAAAATGATGTGCTGTGCAGCTGACTTTGCATTGATGTCGTACCCCTTATTAAAAGTGGTCTGTTGTTACTGCTACGCTTGGTTACGGTTCTTCGTATATTGCGCACCGATGTGGTTCGTCTGCTTTGTTGGCAGGTCACTTCTCTCAGGTTGTGTGGGCGGCAAGCAAGGAGCTCGGTATGGGAAAGGTGAAAAAGGGAAATCAGATCTTTGTCGTCGGTAATTATAAGCCTGCCGGAAACATGGGCGGCCAGTACATGGACAACGTCCGAAAGCCCACCGCTTGAGCGCCCTCTAGCGCGTAGAGCCAACAAGGGGGATAAAATTTCCTATGAATGAGCAGCGGCAACGCCATTTCACGACGTCAATATATGGTTATACTCTGCATTCCACACTGCCCGCACGCACGCGCTGTATTGGCGATACTCAGCATGCTACTGTCTGTGGTCAGCACGCCCACACGCGAAGCAGAACGCAAACATGTAACATTGTATCTGTAGCAATCACGAACATCGGAAATATCCTCGGGATAAACAGATATCGATTTTTAATGAACTGACGTTCGTTCATTCGCCGATGGCTGCGCGGTTTCTGGAGCGCGTGCTCAACGATGTACACATTCCAAACGTAATTGCATTGAAACATACAAGGAACGTGATGCTACCTTCTACCGGGCGCATGCGCGTCGGTCAATGACGAAGGGCTGAGCACGAAATTCTCAACAGCAGAACAATATCGGTGATATGACGTCGGCAGTATCCTTACGGTAATTAGCCGGTAGTTTTAACCAGATACATTCCCGCAGGAACGCATCGGCGACGTTGCGTTCACCTGCGCCGTGGTGGCGCCGATTCGCGCCGCTTCACTGTAACGCTGCGCACTGCAATTTCGACAGTAAGCGTCCTCAGCGCCATCTGTAGGCAATTAAACGGGTTTTCCACGCAGTCGATTTTCTTCTACCTCACGCGTGTAGTTTGCGATGCCGGTAAACTGGATTATTCGTAGGGCTGGTACCTGCGATGTGTCGCCCATCGTTTCCTAGCACTCATACCTCTCAGCAGCATGCCAAAAGATCAAGTATATTATGCTATCTATAGATCACCACTGCCTTAATTAGTATTCGAAATTCATTCGCATATAATGCTATTCGCTATAATGTTATATTTAGATACATCTATATACTATATTTCAATTTGTTCACGTATATGTTATCCATTTACGTGTTAGGTAAGGAATGCCTTTGCATGCCTTTGGTGATAATGTTGGTACAGGGTAATTTCTGTAGTCTGTATAGAAAACGAGGCCGTACTTTGCTGCCACCTATCGGGGGAATCCGTGATCGCTGATAGACTAACAGATTTAGCAGCAAGCCATGAATTTGGTGAGCGAGTATTGTCCACGTGACTCTATGACGCTGTTGAATAATAATAGCTCAGCCTCGGGGTCTCACTGATTGCCTTCACAGACTCGAACAGAGAGGAGCTTAATTCTATACTTGCATTCACGACAGTAGGGTCTAATCAGCGCAAACAGTTTACCCGGGTGGCAGACAAATAATTTGAAACCGTGAATTCACTGTCGGTAATTCAACGGGGGATCCGGCCTAGATGTGATAAAGAGTGTATACCTGGTCATGTTAAGTGTAATATTCGACACGAAATTATGTGTATTTTATCTGTAGCGTCGTGCCAGTATTGGATATGTGTTCATCTATACGTTCACCGTGTGCAAGTATATGTTATTGTTTCTCCCCATCTATCTCTATGTATTTTTCTCTATATATTTTATCCCGTAAACGTTTTTATTTAAAATTTCCAACTAACGCTTATTGAAATGGCCTCTCTTTTTCAGTCTCGATATTTCTTTCGTCGCAAAAACAAAACTCCTTCACTCGTTAAACGATACACACTGAATTGTATACACATTGCATAAGCCATGAAGCATTAATAAACTATATGAACAGAAAGAACAAACAAAAACCCACAGCCTTGTGTTTCCTTCTTGTGTTATCGATTGGACGACTAGCTGCGCATGCGCGGCAACGCTACCAGCCGCGGGCATTTTTAACGAGGTATTTAGCCGTCATCTGTTGCTCGACCTAATGAGAGTGTTGTACGTTAGGGCGAAATGAGGCTGCTTTGCTGTCCCTTTCGTTCGGCAATCAAATGGCAGGAACTCCACGCATCGACTATATAATATAGACGCCACGTGCATCTGATTTGATTAGACGGCAGAGTTCGCAGGCGAATACTTGATTTCATACCACCTCATCACTCTGGTATTATCAGGTTGATCTGCGCTCCAGTCATCACGCAAATAACTCAACCCGACATAGAACGTCGTCAGTGGCTCGCTGTACATCCACGCGGATCATTTTCACGGCGAAAAAATGCCACAATCTGGCTTCAAAGGGTGCGAAAGTCGCGCGCGTGCGCTTTGCGCGTGTAGGTTGATGAAAGCGCGCGAGAGGCGTAGAGCGCGCCGCGGACGGGATCGCGCCCGCTGCTCAGAGAACTGCATTAGCTCGCGTTACGGGCAAGTAAACGAAGCGATCAAACGACGCAAGTGCGCGTGAAGGGGATCGCCGCTCTGAAACCACGCAATTATGCGAAACGCGCCAGAGCAACGGAGCGAGAAAGAGAGAGAGAGAGTGAGAGAGACGGGGGGGGGAGAGGAGGCAGCGAGAGGAGGGAAGGTGAAGGCGATGCAGCGAGAGGGTAACAGAGAGGGCGATATAGTGAAACGCGGAATGTGCGAGGTCCCGAAAAATGATCGGGATAAATCGCGCATTACAGAGAATAGGAATAAGGAAACGTCATAACTTAGGGAAACGGTAATGCGGCCGCAAAGACAGATCGAATGTGCGTGTGTGTGCGTGCAAGCATGTGTGTGCATGTGTGTGCATGTGTCAAAGAAAGAAAATAAGACAGCGAGGGGAGATATATGTATAGAGAGCGAGAGCGAGAAGAAGGACGCAAAGAAACAGGGAGAGAGAGCGCGCGGAAAGAGAA